CCACACTTTTATGCTCTTCCCCCTGCTATGTACTTTCATTTTGCTTCATCGTATAATACTGACTCCAGGTTTCTCTTGAGCCTAGTATGTATTCTGTATATACTTTTCAGCCTGGAGGAATCCTTAGAGCTGAATTATTGCTTCTAATTTATTCCCTTTTTTATACATTCCCAGCCCATATTTTATTGACCCTTTCCAATATAATTGGCGATACTGTGCTCTGTGGAATAACACCCCCCCCCACGTTGCTGCAGGCCTTACAGTTTTTGTGTGACACCATCTTTGCTGCTACCTGATATTGCAACTGATGGATGCCTTAGCACCTTTCTGAATCTGACACACAATTTGTTCCCAAACTATACAGGATGTTCTGGTAAACAATTTCATTACTTTCCTCCGTTCTCTGCAGAGACAAACCGTTCTGTATAATGGAATTGGAGTTTGTGATGGAAGTTTGAAGAGTAGGAAGCTGAAGGCTATTTCTCCTCTAGATATGTGTAATCCCACCTTTTGGCCCCATAGTCAAATGTTGTTAATGATTACTTGTCAAAAGGGATTCAACAGGTGATGTCTTTGGCTGCTCTGGAGCAAGAGGGAAGAAAATTATGTCTGTGCAATTGTTTTATCTCATAAGTACAGTACTGCGCTGAAGGATTTACGCCCCTCCTAATGATATGTTTCCAAGGCCAGCATGTTTATTAGGCAAATGGATGCAGCAGAAACCCATTATTTCCAAAGCCATCATTCTTACAGGACTGGTGTCAGGTTTGAGGGCACTCTGGGCAAGTCCCACCATGGTGGATCCCTCTGCAGACAGGCAAGGAGATGCTACCACAAGATGTAGTGACTGTTAGTAAATCAGTCCACCAAGGTTGCATTCTGTGATTGGTATAATTCACATGACTGTCTGAGAGAGTGTGAGAACAGGGAGAAACATTCTTCCTGCTGCGTATGTTCTTTGTAACTGTACTTTTGCTTTTACAGTACCTGTCTGTTCTCAGAGCTGAAGAGAACGCTAGTCATTATGCTTTCTCTGTATATAATCTGTAAATAAAATGTAGAATAGAACTACAGAGCCTCCTGCTTATTGCTATACGATGCCAGGAGATTAGTGTGCACAAATCATTATGATTTGTGTCGCTGGGGCGTCTGGAAAAGAAGGCAGTAGCTTTTCCAGAACCACACTCACTGGAGGACGCTCAGAGGAATGGGGGGAGGGGCTGCTGATATCCCAGGGCATTTTCCGACAGTGACAGCCACCAGTTTGGATGGTTTTAAAAGAGGATTAGGCAAATTCATGAAGGATAAGGCTATCAATGGCTAATAGGCACGATGGCAATGTTCTGCCTGCTGTCAAGGCTGGAGTCATGTGTAGGCCAGCCACAATGATGCTCCCACATTAAATGGGGGCGCCTTTTGCATGGTCGTGCGCAGCCCCCAGATCCCAGTGTGGCTCCTGATAGTTCGGACTGACTTCATCCTCCCCAGGCTGGATACCTGGAGGTCTCTGCCTACCTCAGTCAATCTCCCAATCCCGCCTGGGGAGGCGTTGCCAGGGGATTGGCCAAGTAAGGGGAGGGACTGTCCTGCCCACACGACAGAAGGTCAAGGCTGGAGTCAGGTGTAGGCCAGCAACAAAACAATAAATCAACCAAGGGCAGATTTAGGGAAACAATCCACAGCTCCGGCCTTGTGGTCTCAGCAACTCTTCCTAGGAGGTCTTGCCCTGATGAAGCAGTTGTGAGGACTGAAAGTCTCCACCTTCCCAGTGTCCAATTGGACTCCTCCTCTCTGAGGTCTTTCCCGTGCAGTTTCAGGCTGCGTGTGATGGCCTGGGAATCCGATTCAGAGGCTGAACCAGAGGAATCCTGTGCAGACAGGAGTCCCCGCCTCCAGGGCCGGCTGAACTGGGGCAGGGCCTTGATTCTGAAGTGCCTGCACCTGTGCCGGATCCTCAGGAGCAGGCACCAGGTGAATCCACTCTGGCTCCGGAGGTGGTTGAGGACTCAGTGCCTACAGGTGAGTCTCCCCCTGGGTACAGTAACCCTTCAGCCTTTATCTTCTCTGAGGCCAGGGGCGGCCCCGGCCCCCAGGAGACCCGCCTATCCTGGCCTTAAGGCGAGCACTCCTCCTGGGAGAAACCAGTTCCCTCCGCCTCTCTGCCCTGAGCCTCTGCAGTTCAGCCTCTGAATCGGATTCCCAGGCCATCACACTGCGTCTGGGCACAGCCACCCTCTTCTCTGCCCCTTTCATTTCTTGGTGTGTTCTAGGAGACCAGCGGGGAGGAGAGCTGGTCGCAACAGGAAGGGGAGACTCCCTGTCATCTGCTTCTGCCTTAGAGTCTGTACTGTGCTCTGCTGCAGCATCTTCCTGTTTACTAAACTCTGCCACCTCTTTTCCTTCTGACTATGCATCGTCATCCCACCACCAATCCCCTGGCTTCTTCCCCTGGGGGCTCCTGGCCAGTGCTTCCCACCACTCCTCTGCATCCAGCCAGTCCATGACATGTCCATTGTCAGAGACAACAGGCCTCTGAATCCTAGCTGATGGGAACGACAAGTAGGGAGAGCGGTGCTGCACTCACTAGAGGCTTCCCATAGGCATTTGTCTGGCCATGGTGAGAACAGAATGCCAGACTACATGGGCCTGTGGCTTATCTTATGTTTCCTATGGTGGTGGCGGCAAAGTGAGAGGAAGCAAAGACAGGCAGTAATGTGCAGATGGTTTCTGCAGAGAGAAGCAGTGGGAGAGGCAGCTGCAGTCACTGCTTTCTTTCCCTAGAATGCCTTGAGGCCTTATGTCCTTGCACATCACTTATTTTTGGAGCACAGAGCCATTAACAAAGAAAATGATGGGGGGTTTTTAAATTCAAAAAATGATGCTCAGTAATGGGCCCTCTGGGGCGTGGGTGGCGCTGTGGTCTAAACCACTGAGCCTAGGGCTTGCCAATCAGAAGGTCAGCAGTTCGAATCCCCGCGACGGGGTGAGCTCCCGTTGCTTGGTCCCAGCTCCTGCCAACCTAGCAGTTCGAAAGCACGTCAAAGTGGAAGTAGATAAATAGGTACCCCTCCGGCGGGAAGTTAAATGGTGTTTCCATGCGCTGCTCTGGTTTCGCCAGAAGCGGCTTAGTCATGACCTGGAAAAACTGTCTGTGGACAAATGTCGGCTCCCTTGGCCAGTAAAGCGAGATGAGCGCCGCAACCCCAGAGTCGTTCACGACTGGACTTAACTGTCAGGGGTCCTTTACCTTTACCTTTAATGGGCCCTCTAGGGTCTACAAGTGTTGACATTTGCCCAATCATGTCAGCTGCTGGTGACACCAAACATGGGGTGGTCTTTTGCTATGTTTTACTTAGAACAAACCCATTGAAATTAATGGATTGAATGTAGCCATGTTCATTAATTTCAGGGGCTCTACTCTAAATGAAAGTTAGTTGAATAAAATCCTGCTGCCATTTGCATGTTGCTATTCCATTGGTTTTATGTCAGATTTAGTTGACAAGATCCAGTAAAAACAACAGGATTTGTTACCATATGCAAAACCTTATGGGGAGCTTCAAGCAATTGGCTGCTTATATGACACAGGTGTTTGAAAACTTTGTTTTTAGGTTTACACGTGTGAAGTGACTTCTAGGTTGCTTTTTCATAAGTCCCAGTCTTTACCTCCTTTTCATACCCAATGTGAACAAGGGAAATGCAAGACAGGACAGGGTTTTTTTACCTTTAATAGTTATGTGGAAGAGGGAATCTCAGTCGGTTTAGTTAGCATGATATGCTGTAGAGGCTGCAATTCCTGTCTTTACAGAACTATAAAAGGTGTAGGAGTCCTGTTTTCTACCTGGCACCCAATATACAATACCATTAAAGTAAAATAGATACCCCCAAACCTTCAGAATACTGCATGCAAGTTCAGTAAACTAATTATTTGAATAAGTCACTAAATGGGCATTTTCTGGACAAATACTTTATATTTATAGATAGAGCAGAATTCTAAATTCTCCCTGTTTTTTCTTAAGTCAGGTTTTCCACCCTGTGGATTTATGAAAGAAAGATGATGATATACCAAATCTCATTTAAATGTCTTTCATTCCATTATGGATCTCTCTATCTGTATTGTTTCTGTCTAAGGGAATACAATTAAATATCCTGATCCTGTTTCACAGTGATGAAGGCACAATATCTAGCGGTGGGTGAGATGCTATTAACGAGACTCGGCTGCTTCCACATTTCCATTCTGCTTATTTTACTCTGCTCACGAATCCAAGGTCAAGTGCTGAAGCACAGAATTCAGTCTATTTCATGCTGTTACAGGCTATTGCCCTTTCTTGAACGGGATTGAGGGAAGTCACAAGGTAGGTCATGAGATAGAAGATCTTTTGCAGGGAATAACTCATTCAAATATGTGAATAAACTTAAGTAGGTTGGTTTCCCGCGTGGCCAGTTGCTTAACCTTTCCAGCTCTACAATAAGTTGCTTGTAGGTATCTTCAAAAGGCGAACGTTATTACCGGACCTTAGAAAGAGCTACAGAAACTGTCACCTTTTTTCTGAGTGTCCTGACCTGAGGCTACTAAGATGCCAGTATAAGCTTTCTAAGTTTCTGGACATGAAATAGCAAGTTGATGATCAGGAATAAGTTCCGTTCAGTTTGTGTTTAAAAAGGAACTTTTTAAATTTTCACTTTCGAAAACAATGCATGAACCAATACACAGCCATCCTTTGAAATTCGCACTTCCCAGAAATTCGCAGTGCCATTCTCCAGCCAAGTAATGCATACAAAAAGGTAAAGCATGCGTAAAATATAAGGGAGAATAACATACAAAAATACATTAGTTTGTTAAGGGTTCTGAGAATTGTTAGGAGGCCCCTATTCCCCTCCCATAACTGCTATTCCAAGGGTGGTTTAACAGTCAATCCAACATCCCAGGGAACTCTCACAATTGTAGTCTTCTGATGAGAATTGGGGTCTCTTAACAATTCTCAGAACCCTTAACAAAGCCTCTCCTCCTCACAGAGGGGAGGTGTTGTGGGCGGGACACGATTTCTGCGTCACGCAGGGGGTGTTATGCCCCCTGCCCCATTCACCTGGCTGGCGCACCACGCCCACAGGTAAGTGCCCAACTGGGCGGCTTGGAGGGGGCGTGGTTTGCAGTTTAAGATACGCTGCGCCAGCCATTCAGCCTCACTCTTCTCCATCTCGTCGCGAGTCACCCACCCACCACTCCCTTAGGGCTTAGGGCTTAGCGTTTCACTTGACCTTGCTATGGACCTTTTGGTTGGTCGCCCAGGTTGCCCAGGGGGCCTGGTAGGAGTTTTTCCAACTGGCATTAGGTCTTTTGGTTTTTCTGCCTACCTCGTAGCAATCGTCACAACTTTCTTGGTATTTGGCGGTTAGGCATTGGAATGTGTTGCTGATGTGTGGAAGGGCTAGGTGTGGCCATCGCCTACGCCTTCAAATTTGGGTATTCCGTTAAAGGAATCCGGCGGTCGTGGATTCTGTCTGATGCCTGTGGGGCGGAGGGTCATGGCAGGACCCTCGGTGACATCAGGGGAGAGCTTATAGTTGTATTAGCATCAACAGGCTCCACCTACTGGTGAATAAACCCCCTTTAGGCTCACCCCTCTCTGAGTGGGTGGAGTCAGTCTGTCGTGGTCCAATGCCTAAGCCAATACCTTCTCACTTGCTGTAATCAATTAAGGTGTGGCCTTTTCTTGCCCATTAACCTTATACACTGTGTCCATGTGTCTTCATTCCACAAAGCGGGGATCGGGTCCTCGAACCACAAAATACAGCTCCCATAATTCTTGGTGGTGTTGGGGAAGCCACGACTGTTTATAATGGTATCATAGTGCTTTAAATGTGTGATGTGAATGTGGTAATAAAGGGTTCCCTCTTTTTTTGCTGTATTCCTAGTCATGAAGAAACAGATGTAAATACAATACCCTTTGGAAAGGCAGCAGTTAAAGAGATTAAACTGATTCCTAGATAGCAGACCACAGAGAAGAAAACAACTAGAGCAACTTTTTCAGCCCATACTGAGCCAGGAAAACTATGGAGCAGCTTGTGCAGTGGAGCACATATACCTAGGGAAATCAGAAAGTTGTTCCCTTGTGTTGAAAAGGAATACATTTCCTGAACTCTGAAAAAGCAGAACAGAAGCTGAACAGAGAAAAACATGGGAGGAAGATCTTTTGAGTAGAGCCATGCCAATGCCCTGGAAAAAGCGATGTTGTTTCTCCATAGATGACCAGTGTGGAAGTAGCCTCAGTCTATGCAATACAGCAAGCTCAATTTGTGTTACAGAAGGCCACAGCCATGGAGCAGCCATTTGATTGATGTGGCAAGGGACCAGATTGATTTTCAGCTGCTATGGCATTGGCAATTCCCTGACCATGTCAGCTGACTGCTTTGTTGCACAGTGAGCTGTAATGTGGTATGAACTGACAGTATGATCTACTCTCTGTTGTAAAAAGAGTTCATAATGGAGAACCAGAATCTCTGAATAGGGGAACCTCTTTCATAGCTGAGGTATAGTGGTGGAGGCAGGTTCTTTGCATGTGGTGCCATGGATGCACATCATGTGCTCTCAAAGGCCTTCCTTGGCTTTGGTCGGGGTGTTAGACTGGAACTGATGAGATCCTGGTTCAGATCACTACTTAGCTCTCTGGATAAATATAGGCAGTGCCTCTCAGTCTAGGTTCCCTTACACAATTATTATGAGATCATAGGGGGAGAGGGAAGAGCTCACCTGTATCTTTCTTGTAGAGTTCCTTTGAAGAAAAGTGGGATTAAAATGCTCAGTGAACGTGCTCAGCACCTGCATCTTCTAGTGACTTGGTATCTCTGCAGTTGGGAGAGTGCCAGATTTTTTTCCTTTTCCTTTTAATTTCCATTTTTGAAAAGCAGATATATTAACAGAACTTGGTTTATGCCTCTATGTAGTCTCACAAGGATCCACTTTTCAAACAAATTGCTGCCACAGTCTTTAACCTGTGACAAAGAACTGTCTCCAATTTCCTGCCTGTATAAAAGACTGTACAGTAATTGAAATCCTTAAACCTGCCCTCTGGTGTTGTGGTTCCAGATGTAATACCCAAATGGATACTTTTAATTAACAGCGAACATTTCAACTTGTAGAATTGAACCGCACAGATAGATGGGGTTGGCTTGCCCTTTAGACACAAGTTCTGTTTGGTACAGCTCCATTATCTACTCAGTCAATCGCATCTTAGCACAATGAAGTGTTTAGTCTATTGCTCTAGAATTCCTTCTGTAATTATTTTACAGTGTAACCTTGTTGACTCGATTAGTTCTTTGACTAATAAAACAAAGAGAGCAGAGGAGAAGACCAGTGGAAGGGAATTGCAAGAAGGTGGCAAAGGCTGTGAAAAGGGCACAAGTTTGCAGTTGGTAGGGTAGATCCACACTCATACCCAAAGGCCCAACCCACCTGTGCTCTTTTTGAAGGAAATGTGTCTGCCAGGGAGAGTGGGCTGTGGCAACACCAACTTGAACAATTGCAGGTAGTATGCCATAGGTAAAAAGGTAAAGGACCCCTGGACAGTTAAGTCCAGTCAAAGGTGACTATGGGGTTGTGGCACTCCTTTCGCTTTCAGGCCGAGGGAGCCGGTGTTTGTCCACAGGCAGCCTTCTGGGTCATCTGCCCAGCATGACTAAATCGCTTCTGGTGCAATGGAACAACGTGATGGAAACCAGAGCGCATGGAAACGCTACACTCATGGCTCACAGAACATGCCAAAAAGACTCTTTTAAAGCAATAATGTAGAAAAGCCTTCAGTTTCTGTTTCTTGGTCCTAGGAATCATCGTGCTGTGTGATAATTGCATAGTAGCTTCTGTGTGCTGGTTGGCCAAGAAGTGCCACTTCAAGCACAATAAGAAGATAATCAATCATGTTGCTAGCTTTTTGTCTCTGCAAAGGTATTTAGATTTCAGCCAGCTGGTTAACGGCCTTAGGGCCATCTGCTTGAATGAAACAAAATGCCCCCCCTCCATAAACAAAAAGGGAGTATATTTGACTTGTGTGATAATTTGGGTGGTGGTGATGATTAAATTTGGCCTCTTAGGCTCCAGCCGAAATTCAATTCAGATGACTGGTTATCTTTTCGTAGCCTGTGGAATAACCTCATTTGCTGTCATCACTAATGTTCCCAGTGTTTATTGTCCTTTCACATGAACAAAGCACAGAATGCCTGGCTTTAGGCAGTTGAATCATGGTGAGAAAACGGTGCTGAGGTTCAAAGCACAGAAGCGACCCTGATGATATTATTTCAGCCAAGAAATTATGTGCAGTTCTTGCACATTTCTCTGGGGCATCCTGATATCATTACTCCCACAATGCAGCATTTCTGTTGAGGAGGAGGTATTATATTCTCACAGTGCTCAAATCACAATATTCTGTATTGTGAATAGGGATGTAAGGAGGCAGCAATTTCTATCCTGTTCTGCATTTGTCACATTCAGTGCTGTTTCCATTGTGCTACAGTTCAGCTCCTGCTAAAGCCTATGTTATTCATCTCACTCTTTGCAGTGGCAGAAGCTAATGTAATTTGTTACATCATTAACTTCAAAGCATTTTAATGGAGGGAAAATGTCAAAAAATGACACATAAAATAATGCAATTATGTAATGTTCTTGGACTTAAAAAGCCACAGTAGCATGGTTTCTGTTCCTGACCTCAGGCAAACATGCAAAGTGTGGCAGTTTCCATATCCATTTCCATTTCCGGTGGAATTTGCCAACATCCCATAGTGTGAAATGGCGATTTTCCGGCTCTGCTCCCAGTGAGAATGTCCACTTCATGTGCTGCATAGAATGTGATTTTTTTTTAGTGTTGTGGACATGTATCAGACAATACTTGTGACATCAACAGCAAATACATTTCAAATGTTCACATACCTTACATCAACCCTATAATAGCATTATTCATCAATTCATTGATTTTAACCTTTTTTTTTTTTTAAAAAAAAGATCACCCTTGACTTTCCACCACATCTGGCCTTCTTGGTTTGAATACCAAGAAGAAATGCAATTCTTTTCCCTGTGCCATTTTACAAACTTTTTTTTTTTTGGGAAAAAAAAATCTTACTAAACTTTTTATGGCAACTGAATGCTTCCTTGAAGTACCACTTTAGTCCTGTATCCACAAAAGTGATGGACAGCAGCTATTACAGATGACTTGATAAGTCATTTCATTCACCCAGTGATAAATGACTGCTGCATCGCTATTTAGCACCCTAATCCCAGATGAGCCCCACAGCTCCTCAGATGGGCTTCTAGAACAATGTGCCCAGAGTCAAAGCCACAGAATAAAGTCATAATGAAACAAAGTTGGTGATCACCGCTGTTCCTGGATGCTTCTTAATCTTGCACAGCTTTGATATTAATCTCTTTTTGTAGGTTAGCAAGTAATATTCTGAGTTTATTGACCAGCAGTCTATCCTCCCTTTTATGCTGCTTTGGAGACCAGTTCACATTTTCTTTTTGTCTGTTTTCTGACAGGCGGCGTTGGACTAAGAATGACGGATGTCACTGTTTCCACATCTGAGGAAAACCCTAAGATTCAATCTCAAGATTGTCATGATGAGACAGGATAAATTTCCTGCCTTCACCTCATCACAATTTGCAGTACCAAAGTGAATCAATTCCATACCATGTGGTGCTCTAGTTGCAGCCTTTGTTGCTGGAACTAGATCACATCACAAAGAAAATGATACAGATTATATCAAATGTCCCGCTAAGCTGGTAAGGCTAAGACCATGATTACATGCTGTGTTTACATTAATATGTCAGAATGGGGAAAAAGATGTTTTCCAGAGGGAAGCAGTTAAACCTAAATTCCTTTGCAACACCTTTTAAATATTCAGGATTAGGACCATTCTCTTAATGGGCAAAACTGTGGGGTTTTCAGCTTTTGCCTGTGCCAGATCAAACAATTCTTAATCCAGTTAATATTCAAAACTTATTGCAGAGTTTACACTTACCCGTCTTACTTCAGAGACAGCAAAGGCTGACAAAATGCCTTTGTAAGTGGGAAGGGTGGTATCTGGCATCTCCAAGTAGGACTGGGAATGTCATCTGTTTAAAATCCTGGAGGGCTACTAGCAGTCAATGTAGACAAGACTGAGCTAGCTGGACCAATGGTCTGATCTGGAATAAGGCAGCTTCTTGTGTTCCTAAGTGCAATTGACCCTGTCTACTCTGTTGCCTTTCTGAATGAATTCTAGTCTGAATTTGCTGAGTTGTGAAGGTTTGCACCGCTCCTAGCGTTTGATTCACGCCATCATTTTGCCTTCAGATTTTGCAAATGATTCAAATGTTGCACTAACCACTTTTAGGCTGTTGAACTGTATGGTAAGTGTCAAATGCAACAGCTGCCCCTGTGTAGCACTTTTCAGCGATCTTTCCCTGTGTGTTTGATCTCCCTTAACAGAAAAGATGGGAGAATGGGGAAACAGAGAGTGAAAAACCACATTGGTTAACATGCTCTCTCTCTCTCTCTCTCTCTCTCTCTCTCTCTCTCTCTGTGTGTGTGTGTGTGTGGCTTGATTAGCTGATATTCAGATTATTTGTTTAGTTTAGGTCAGAAGGACTGATAAACATGAAAGCAGTGACTTTGAAGTATGTACAGATCCTTTGCGGGGCAAAGTAAAAAATGTGCCTCCTCAGTCTACTGATTTTTGTTTTTAATCTATTTTTCCCAGGCAAGGAAACAAAATAACTGATAGAAAAGCAATGCATTGTTCTCTTAATACATGTAGGTTAATAGAACTGCGGCCATAAACACAGGATGTTGTTCTTGTATGATAGGCCATTTTGCCTTATTCTCAACAGCTGTTTTAGTGGTTATTTGGAATGGGCTTCTAAATGGATTGGAAAGAGTTGATCATGTACAACCAGAAAGCAGAGTGTATCTTCAGATATGTTTACTGTAGGGACTGTGTGATCTTGCTTAATTGCAGGACATGATTACTTCTTCGGTAACAAAGAAGCAGGGATGTTTTCAAGTCAGGTTGAAACAGGAAAAACTGTGTTGTATTATTTACGGAGGGTTTGAGAACAATGTTTCCCCAGTATAGGTACAAGTCATTCCTGTGTCTGCTAGAAGATCAGTATACATTAGCTGTCTCACAAGTGCCACTAATGCATACCATCTCCTTCCCTGCAAGATTAAAATAACAGAAAGCAAATGGCTAATTGAAGCTGGAACTTCACTTTCTGTGACATATGCTGGGTGATTATACAATGGTGAGGTACATGTTTACTGTTCATTTGGGATTTTACAGAATTCTGATGTGCAGGAACAACTCGTTGGTAAAAAGAGAGTGCTGTGTGGGGAGTGTGGGGGGAAACGTTGCTTTTCTCTAGCTGAAATTTGAAATGTTTTAATCATGATTTCTTTTGTGCAGCTGCAAATATGCTGCAGAGAATTCATTGTTAATGATATTGGCTGTGATGGATCCGTAGTTAGAGCAGACACAAGCTCTGACTTTTTTAATGCTGTGCCTCAGTTATCAGTCTATATAGAGAGACTAAAGGGATACTTTTCTGAATTGGCAGCCCTTGGAACCACTTTGCCTGCAGCAAGTACAAGGTACAGAGAACCAAACCCAGATGCTTTTGTATTAAACCAGCTGGACTAAACTCTAAAGGGCAGCAAAGAACATGTAGCTATTAATGTGAAGAATCTGTACATGTGTCCCACATGGCACCAGTATGCATGATCACACAGTTAGACAATTGATGCGGGTCTTGGGTTTCCCTTTCCCTTTCCCATTTATGTACATCTCTGCAGGAAGAACATCATGTGTATAGCAGCTCTGTGGTGATACAGGTAAAGCAGCTGAAATTTAACAAGGACACTTCACCAATCACAGTCTGGTGGTGGTCCAGCATGAGATGCCTGGTTAAAGGCAGCCTGCAGTCAAAACACAGGGAGCCAGTGAACAGCTAGAGCAGAGCTTTCCAAACTTTTCATGTTGGTGACACACTTTTTAGACATGCATCATTTCGTGACACAGTAATTCAGTTTTGCTAGCAAACCAGAGGTTAAACTAACCCCTTTCCAGCCCTGGGAAGAGAGCAGGGAGCGTTCACACGATACACCCACACACAGCAGCTGACACACTAATGTGTCATGACACACAGTTTGGAAAGCTCTGAGCTAGCGATACACACGTCAGCAAGCTGTTGCAAATACATTGTTCAAACACTCTGGGCCTGGAACTGAAGCTCTGAGCTTTCAGAGCCCCATCTGAGTTAGGGAATTAATGTGATAATTGCAGCTATCACATGAACCCAGCCTTAATAAGCAGCTGATGAA